AGTTGTGTGTGCACACACATGTGCACACTTGTGTGAGTTGTGTGTGTATATGTGTGTATGAGTTGTGTGTGCATGTGTGTGTATATGTGTACGTGTTCGCACACACGTGCACTCTGTGTGTGTGTGTGTGTGTGCATGCCCTTGCAAGTGTAGAGCGCATGTGAGGAAGTGAGGTATAGTAAGTAGTGCATGCTCATAATCCCAGAGGTACAGACAAATGAATCCTTGGGGCTCCCTGGATGCCTAGCCTGCTTGGTGAGTTCTAGGTCAGTGAGAGACCCTGTCTAAAAATCAATTAAAAGTAACTTTAAAATGGGGATGTGCCGGGTGTTGGTGGCGCACGCCTTTAATCCCAGCACTTGGGAGGCAGAGGCAGGCGGATCTCTGTGAGTTCGAGACCAGCCTGGTCTACAGAGTGAGTTCCAGGACAGCCTCCAAAGCCACAGAGAAACCCTGTCTCGAAAAACCAAAAATAAATAAATAAATAAAAAATAAAATAAAATGGGGATGTATCCTGAGGAAGGACACTCAAGGTTGTTCTCTGACCTCCACAAACATGCAGACAGAATCAGAGAATGGGAATGAAACGGTTTTGAGCATGGGAAGGCAATATTAATGGAACCAGTCATGAGCTCTCTACAGGGTAAGAGCTCCTTCCTGCCCTTCTGAGACACACACACACACACACACACACACACACACACACACACACACACACTGGGCTCAATACTTGGTACTTAGATGTTCCCCTGCAAAGGACACCGTAGAACTAAAAAACTGAATGGACCGTCAGAATGCCCCCCCACCCCAAGAACTTATTGTCTTGGGTTTACTTTGCTGTGATGAAACACCATGACCAAAGCATTGCTCATCACTGTTCATCATCTAAGGAGGTCAGGACAGGAACTCAGACAGTGCAGGAACCTGGAGACAGGAGATGATGCAGAGACCATGAAGATTGCCTCTTACTAGCTTGCTCAGCCAGTTTTCTTATAGAAACAAGACCACCAGCCCAGAGGCATCCCCACCCACAAAGGGTTGGGTCCTCCCACATCTATCTCTAATTTTAAAAATGCCCTACAGGCTTGCCTACAGCCCAGGCATATGGATGAACTTTCTTTTTTTTTTCTGTTTTTCATGGCAGGGTTTCTCTGCATAGCCATGGTGTCCTAGAACTCTCTCTGTTCACCATACCAACCTTGGACTCACAGAGATCCACCTACCTCTACCTCTTGTAACCTAGGATTAAAGGTGTGCACCACCACCTTCTGGCTGGCTGGATTTTCTTAATTGAAGTTCCCTCCTCTCAAATAGTTTTGTTTGTGTCTAGCTGACATAAAATTAGCCAGCACACTTGTGGTGAGCAGGACAATGACAAAAAAGACGTGTTGGTCCACAGAAACTTGATTATACTATCTGACCATGAAGTGTTGTTAAGGTTACAGATGGAGTTAAGGTAGCTGGTCTGTTGATCTGAAGATACAGATCATCCTGTTTATCTGGGTAGATCTGAGATCATCACAGGGGAGGTAAGAGGGAATGCTGAGTAGAATCCGGTTGTAGAAAGACTAAACCAGCCACTGTTGTCTTTGACCTGGAGGAAAGCTCAATAATGAAGACACTACCAACCAGACTAGCTAAGGACAGGTGCTGCCCGCATGCCTCAATTCTGGCCCAGTGAAACCTGATTCACACTCCGGGCCCCTGCAGCAGTAAGAGTACACACATTTGGGTAACAGCTTCTGACATTCAGGAATGTGTTATGTCAACAAGCAAGGAAACAAACTCAGGGTTTTTTTTTCTTCCCCCTTGGTACCTGGGGACCGGTGTGGGGGCCTGTGACAGGAGCCAGGGACAGGATTGAAACATCAAGATTAACACAAAGAAGAAGCCATTTTGCAGAAGAAGACCGGAGTCCTTCACTTGAACTCGTTCTAAGGAATAGATCGTGTTCCAGAAGAGCTGGGTGTTACAGAAATGTCCAATAAAGGGTCCTGGGCCACTTGCTCCAGTGTTCCTTTGGGACTCTTTTTCCAAGCTCGCTAGCATAGTCTCGTTATTGGGAATGTTTTAAGCTGTCTCTGTTTCTATTTCTAGCCAGGTATTCCTGAAGCAATCCTAGAATCAAATATCCACTGAACTCAGATCTGCAGCTTGGCGCTTCTAAACATGCTTTCCCTGGTATTCTGAGCTTTTTCTATTTCTCCACATACATACCTAGTTTAAAAGGCATAATAACTTCTCAATCTCCCCTCCTCTGGCAGCTGCTGGAGTTTTCTTCTTGCTTGTATTGCTTTTCTCTCAAACTTTAATTTTAAAAAAGTCCTCAAGCTGCCTTCTGAGACTATTTTTAACTATTTTTAATGAGACTAAGAACCCAAAGGGAATCCCACTTTTTCTGACAACAGAACCACTTCTGTAGCCTGGTCAGAGCGAGTGTCCCATGACGGTGGACAGGCCTTCTTATACTTCCTGAATGCCAGCCTCCCTAACGTTGGTGCTGATAGGGTGATGAGGTGCCTGTAGCTCACAAACTCCCAGGTGGCTCAGGCTGCTGGATGGGGTCCTCAAACTGAGGGGTGGGATGCACCTCTTTAGGCTAAACTCCATTTACCAAGGCTGCAGGGAATTGGAGGCACATCCAGGCTTGGTAGAGTTTATGTTATGTATCCCTTCATGACCGGGATACATCCCTGCCATGATGTCATAATGAAGGTGACTTCTGTGGTCTGTTCTCCTGCAGCTGAAATGCAGCAGGGCCAGGTCCTTGCTTCCCACATAATGAAAGAAAGGACCCATGCGGAACTTGTTCTCTGTGATAAGACACAATGGCCTGGGATTGCATTTGCTTCAAGTTGTCCCCTCTGCAGACTTACTCCCTCACCACATTGGTAGGTCTCTTTCACAGTGAGCTCCAGCTCCCCCTTTTGTAAGAGGGGATGCTTCTCATACAGCAAGTTGGCTTGTCTGAGCATGTGTTCTCAGGATCACCTGAGCTACAAAAATTACCTTTCACCCTAGAGTGTAGAGGAACACCTCTCCAAGAATAATCCTAACCTTAGCTGTATGAGCAAGGCCAAAGAGAAATGCTGAGAGGAGAAGGGAAGGCTCCCATGGCTAAGGAAGACATGGACACTATGTCCATCTCAGAGTTGACAGGCCGTTCATATCCAAGTTGACACTGTTGCTCTGAGAAGTGATGTGTCCCTTGCAGGTTGCAGGTCTTGTGCTCACTCTTGGCTGGACAGGCCTAGCCTATGTCTTTCTCGAGGGCAGGGTCAACCTGAGGGTGCCTTACGTGTAGGTGTGGTCATGCAGGCTCTGCCCACTCACCTTTACTCTGCAGTTGGGGGCCCTTGTTCTCCTCTTCCCAATTTCCAAGGCACTCACCAGAAGCTCCAAACAACCAGCCTGCTTGACATAGGTTGGTGTGCCTCTGCTGTGTTGGACTCCCCATCTGTCTGTATGTCCACCTGTCAGTCACCTATTGGAAATGCCTGCTGCCATCTTCCCTTCTATGCAGATACTTTCATAGCTGCATCAAGAATGATGAGCACCCAAGCGCCTGTTCTCTGTGGCTAAGCAGGACTCCATGTTTTGGACTCTAGGATCCAGAGCACATATGCTCTCATTTCAGCTCCTAGCAGAAAGCATATTCTCCCAAGGTGCTGGCAGGTTCACGCTGCTTTTATGGTGTTCTACACCCAAAAATTTCCCCTAACATTAGGCCCCTATAACACTCCATGTAGTTTTGAAAGATGATATGAACATAAAATACTCCTTGTATAAAGATGGTGCCTCTTACATCCCTGCTTATCAAGAACATTTATCAATGGTAGAATGGGTGGGCATGGACCGTTGTCATAGTCTAGGATGCTGGACCAAGGTCAGGATTTAACTCTCGGTAGGCTTGAACACTTTGGATCGGCACCATGGAGTTCATTCCACATGTGGTGCTCAGTGGATCTGCAGATGGACAACTCCAGAAACCTCTGTGTTTACTCTGACCTGAGCTGGCCATGGCAAGATTTGCTTCCAGTAAGAGACATATTTGCACACATAAGCCTCTTTTGCATAAAATGTCAGCACCATGGATAGCACCATATGCCATGCTCTCCGTCAAGACACCGAGAGGGTCTGTTGTGCCTGGGCAATTACCGACATCACAAAGCCACTGGTTGGTGTAGATGGCTCTGTGTGGACTAGTCAGAAGTGGACATCCTTGTCCAGGGCTCCAGGCTTCAGAGTTGACCCTCATTTCACAATAGTGGTGTAAGGGGCACCGAGGAACTGAGGGAAAGAGCCCTTCTGTGATTCTAAAGCCATGGCTGCGTCTAAAGGCTGCAGAGGGCTGGGCCAGTAAAGAGTCACAGTGAGTGAACAGAGTTGAGTGAATAAATGATTATCACTCTCATGGGAGAGTAGAAACTGACTGACCAGAAGCCTTCTTGCATTTCCTTGACAAGCAAAAAATTAGACGCTTCAAAAACAAAAATGATAATATATATGGTGGGTCAATGGTGCAGACAGTACCTCCTCAGCCTTTGACCACCCCACTCTGCCCCTGTGGCACTAGTTGTAGGCATGTGATACTGGGTTCTTTAATGGTCTCTAATCTGCACTTGTGGGTCTCTTCATAGATGTGGTGACTCCGGGATGATGTGTGAGGAGGAAGAGGTTTCCTGCCTGTCAGGTTCCTCCCACCGAGCTCAACTCTCCTTTGAAGACCAGCATTGGGGCTGGATTTCTGGAATTAGTAATATGGAGGCCATTCATAGAAAAGGGATTCCACTGCCTGCCAGTGGCAATCAAGTACACTCAGGGCTTCCCTACACAGCACGGATTTCAGAGGGAAGCCATGTCCACACAGACTGTACCCTGTGGAACCTGGATTTGGAGGAATGGGCATCACATAGATGCCCATTAGACAGCATGCAGATACCCTGAACCCATGAGTCTTTCACCATACAGAAAGCTGGGAAAGCAATAATCACATGGTCTCAGTAGTGGACAGCGTGTAATGAGACAGGGTCTGGCTGGCACAGGTGTGCCTCCCCACCCTGGTCACCCTGGCTCTGCCCTTCAGCAGCTTCTGCTCTCCTGTGGCTTCAGACCACTTTCCAGATGTGTATCCTTCTGTCTCCGTCTGTGCTGGTACAACAGATGAGCCAGAGCAACTGATGGGACCCACAGTGAGGGCAGGAAGGACATGAGTATACAGGTGACCTGCACCCAGCCCGGGTAGAGCTTCTCCTCTCTTGAGGGGAAATGTTCCTGTGGGGGCAGAAGGACATGTTCAGATACGTGTCCAAGCAGGGACCACACCACCCATCTCTAAGTGGAGCCAGGTTGATCCTTGACCACCACCAACTTAAGTAAAGTAGCAACTTCACTTCCCCACTTCCTGAAACAACAGGGAGTGCAGAGATTCCTGGGAAAATGAAAGAATGGTGGCCAGGACTTCCTCTACTCCAGCCCCTCCTGAGGCGGGGAACCATCAAAAGGCCAGCTTTGTACAGCTGTCACTCTGGGTCCCTGCCTTGCTCCTCTGTGACATGGCAACACCACTCACCCAGCTTGCTGATGCTTCTTGTGTGTTTGCATGGGCAAGTAGAAGGTACATCTAATGGGACAGTTCTCATGAAAACCTCCCAAGCATTCAGCCTCCTTTACAGGTCCCTGCTGCCCTGCTGGGATCCCTCTTTAGGATGGACTTGGAGAGGATTGCTCTCACAATAATGAGAGGCAGGAGAAATTCTGAACTGTGTGTGTGTGTGTGTGTGTGTGTGTGTGTGTGTGTGTGTGTGTGTGCCTCTGAGGACCAGGCAGTTAGGTAACAGCCAGGAGTCACAGCTGGAAGGGACTAGCTAACCTTAGGAGACTGTGAAAATCCTGGGGCCATATTGATAGCCATAAGACACCCATCTTGTCTTATCAACGCTACCATGTGTGAAAAATCTAAGACGTGGGTCGCACCATAGACACTAGGTCAAGCCTGAGAGATTCCAACAGCCTCATGGGAAGGACCTACATATTGGGGGTTCCAGGCCTTGTAGCTGGGTGGTGTCTGGCTCAGAAGGATGATGTAGGACAGGAAGATGCTGAACAGCAGCAAAGGGCTCACCACCTTCCATGTCACCTGCCAGTAGAGGCTGGGCCGCCGCCCAGTCATCCACTCAATGTCATCACAGAACCTGCAGAAGACACTGGCTCAGGCTCCCTTGTGTGGCCTCATTGGACAGCTCATCCCTTAAAATCAAGAACAGTGGGCACCCCAAGACCACCCTGGATCTTAGGGTACCATCTCAGAATGTTTTACCCAGGATCCGGACAGCTAAGGTACAGCTGTACCACCAACTCCGTTCCCTGCTCTGCCCTGAGATGGGGCATGGGAACAGCTTACCGCTTCATCCCATAAACGTAAATGACCCCAACCACCTCCATGAAGGCAAAAATGATCAAATTCAGAGAAGCTGCAAAACTGTCAAAGATCTCCAGCCAGTAGCTTCCAGATTGCAGTGTGAAACAGATGGCTGAGATGAAACAGACAAGGCAAACCATCCCTGGGGACAAAGGTGAGCAAGGTGAGAGACAGTGTGGTGGAGGGATCAGGAGGCTCTGGGCATCGGGACTTCTCAGGTTCCCTTGACTCCATCCCTTGGTTCCTTCCCACCACATCTCTCCCAGTTCTTTGCCTGGCAGCAGAGAGGACCTGCTAGGGATGGGGCTCAGTTTGCAAAATAGAGGAGAAGTCCAGCTCCTTCTCCTCCCTTCTCCCCACTTCCATCTTCCTTCCCCCTCCTTCCCCCAGTCATTTCCTTCTCACTATTCCCCAGCCTAGGGCCATTGGGGTTTCCCACCCTCTAGAGGTCAGCCTGGCCCAGCCTTCCCCAGGAACATGGGCCCCAGAGCTCTGCTTCCAAACGGGTTGTTGAACAGCGTGCAGAATGGGCAAAAGGCAAAGGCTGGACAGTGGGGACAGCCCTCCACCCGTCTACCTACCAGTCATGGCTTCTTTGGGGACACTTCTCGGTAAGATCCCCAAGTCAAATAGTGGTGTGATGACACTCTCCATGTTCCCAAACATGGAGGACAGACCCAGGGTGAACAGCATCCCGAAGAAGAGCACGGACCACACAGAAGCTCCTGGCATGTGCAGGACAGCTTCTGTGAAGACGATGAAGGCCAGGCCTGGGCCTGACGCACTCTGCAACACAGAGGTCATGCTATGGCCATGTGCACAGCACACAACTCACATCATAACACGTACAGCCCACATCATTACGCATGTGCATCCAGACCTTTCCCTGAATATGCTTCACTGTAACATGTACACATCTCACACAGAGACACACGCGTGCATACACACTGATGCATGTACTCACCATAACATATACATAACCCATAGCGTGACTCATGTACCCTATACAGCGTCATGTCTGCTCCACACTGTAACACATACACCCTCATTGGGATACATGTGTATCTACACTGTAGCGCATATGCACCCATACCATGATACATGTATACCTTCACTATGACATGTGTGTACGCTACACTATGATATACATATGCCTCACACCATGACATAGGCATACCTGTGACATGTGCATGCCCCACAGCATCACATTTGTGCATTCCCATGCCCACCATGACATGCGTGTCCCATACAGTGACATGTACACACTCTACACCATGACCTATATACACACATGTCTTCTGACGTCAGAAGTGCTACCCTGCCTTTCTGGGAAGACAGGTCATGGGCACACCTCTGAGAGAAGGGAGCTTTCTCCTTGAATAAGGAATACGGAGCAGATGAGCAGGGAATCTATGGCCTTGTGACCAAGGACCAGGAACCACTGCCCTGAGAATCTTCCCCAAGTGTCATCCCTAGTCTGGTGCCTATGGGTCCCTAGCATCCACTGGCCTCTATGACAAGGCTGTGGATACTTCCTCTATGTTCTGTGTCCCAGCAATGTTACCCTAAAGTTCTCCCATCTTCCCCATGCAGATGGACTGAGGTGCTTCTCTGATTGCCTGTGGGATGTGTCCCCAGCCTTTTGCAGATCAGCATTCTCCCTGTGTGATCCTGGTTTCCTAGTGACAGCCCTCCTACCCTTTCCTGGTGGGTACCTTATCCAGAAAGTCCTCCAGATGGCAGGTCTTCAGGGGGAGTTGGGCCAACCTATCAGCCTGAGTGGCATTCAGGTACATGAGGACCTCTGGGTATTCATCCCTGGAGATGCTAAGCTCTGGAAAGTCGAACTCATTGATGAGGCTCAAGATGTTTCTGCAGGAGCAGAAAGAGGCTGGTGAGGCTGGGATTTGATGCTCTACAGTGGCCAGCAAATGTTCTAATATTCCGGGGAGGTTCTGGAACAAATAGCAGCCCCCAGAAGAGAACTCAATCCTCTCTAGACCCTTTGGTGTCCCATGGATACCTGTGTCTGGCCAGCACTGGAAAGGGGAGGCTGTTTCCACCTGTGGGTCAAAAATAGGGGCACCTCTTCTGTGGGCACTAACGAGGAGGAGGCAGATTCCTGCCTCATCAGTACGGAGGTAGCAGATCTTGTCATCTGCTTGATGCTGCTCTTACAGAGATGTAAAACATAGGAGTTACAGGGAAGTTAAGCCTTCTACCCACAGTTCCAAGGAAAGTTTGGGAAGCCGGGCAAGGAAACAAGGTAAATGTAGGCAGCTGCTGGGTAGACAGTATGGGAAGGCGTGAAGGTGAAGTGTAAGTTGCCATGGACACCTCAAGATGCTGGAGATAGCAAGAATGTGGAGTTTCTGCTAAGGAAAGCTGCAGACTACACGTAGAACCAGTACAAGGGAAAGGTCATAGCAGCGGCCGTGGAAGCGGGCTACCGAAGTCTATTGGAGCTCATAACACCATGTGCCCTGGGCGCCAGGTACAAAAGGCAAGATTCCATCTTTGTCTCTTCTAATTTTCGGTCTTGCCTTGGCTTGATCCTTTGTTGCTATTCTCCAATCTTCCCTTTTAGAATGAGAATGTTTCTTGTGTCACTGTATCTTGGAAATGTCCTTCTTTTTTTATCATTTTTTATTTTAATTTTAAATAGCTTGTTTTACATGTCAATCCCAGTTCCCTCTCCCTCCACTCCTCCTGCACTCCCCTTCCCCCCCCCCCCAGCCTCCCACCCTATTGCCAATTCCTTCCACATAGGGGATATCTAGAGTCTGTCATTTCACTCCGGATAGGGTCCAGGCATTCCCCTAAGAGCCCAGGCGGAGAGAGCATCCCTCTTTGTGCTATGGGCACACAATGACTGTTTGTATTCCAGGAACAGACACTGATCCACTGCTCAAGGCCCCATAGGTTGCCCAGGCCTTCTCACTGGAAATGTCCTTCTTTTTTATGTTGCCATTGCTACAGCTAGGAGTTCGTGTCATTCTCAGAGGACACTTTGAACTTTGACTTTCATGCAGTGTTACAACTGTTGAGACTGGGGACACTTGGAGATAGACTGAATACATTTTTCACTGTGTGATAGCCATGTGTTTTGGGGGTCAGAGGTAGGATGTAATGGTTAAAATAGAAAATATCCCACATAGGTGAAAGCCTAGTCCCACAGCAGGCAGAGCTGGTTTGAAGGTTCTAGAAAGGAAGTAAGTCACTAGAAGTATATCCTTGGGAGAACTTATCTCTGGATCTTTTTCTATTTCTTTGACACCTATAAAAACGAGTTGCGGAATCTCCACACACACCCTTACTGTTCTGATGTCCTTCCAACTCAAGCTTGTGAGACCAAGCAAGCATGAACTGAACTTTCTAAATTTTAGAATCGAAAACCATGATCAAAATGAATCCCTCTTGTAAGTTATTTTTGTCATGTATTTTTGTCACAGTGATGAGAAAAGCAACCACTGTGTGCCTCTTCTAGAATTCAGTGACCATTGCTCAGTACCATTGTAGCCTCTGCCCTTTGCTTCACAGCCATCTCTTCTGTGACCACTTCTGGCTCATAAGGACATCTAGTGCTGCTAGGACCACCCTACTCCAGGATTACATCATCATCTCAGTTCCTATCTTATTTCCATCAACAAGATTCCCTTCCCATCAAGCCACATTCTGAGGTTGCCAGTGGACAGGAACTTTAAGAGGACACTGTTCATTTCATGGCCCCAAGGAAATAGGACATGGCACGCATTCTGTGCATATGTGGATCACAGTGTGGGCATCTGTCTCATGACTTTGCCCTGTAAATCCCAGTAGAGTTTGCTCACCTGTCCAGGCACCTCCCATAGTCATTGGTCGCCTTGAACCCCATGATGGAGAAGATGGTGATGGATGCGTACAGGGAGGTCATGCTGTTGACCAGGGCAATGGTCACGGCGTCCTTCTCACAATTGTTCCTGGACACAAGCACATGGCCATCATGGGACTTTCTGGGTCAGAACCAGGCTTCCTATGGGAGGAAATGGGAATGATTCCCTCCTTAGCGCCTTTGCAGCCTGAGGCGTGCTCATTCTGAATCTGGAGGATATGGGAAGGTGATCTCATGCTCCTAGGATGAATTCAGCCTCTCTCCATTCTCCTCCACTACAACCCAGCTCAGAACCACCAAGGGTCTGGGCATTAATGGGGTGATGGGCATGAATGCAGGTTTTTGAGACTACCTTCCAAGGAGAATGCATACAAGTGCCCCTTGAGTAAATTCAGGCCAGTAAGCTATCACAGACACTCAGAGACCTCCTCTGTCCTACAGAGAGGTGATGACCACACAAAGTTGGTTTGTTAGAGCCTGTCATAGTGTGCCCCAGTGGCTTAGATTAGTGGTACATCACCCAGTGTGCTATGTGCAGGCTGGGTATCAGGCAGTAGCATCTGTGCATGTCAGCATCAGGCCAACAAGTTGGACACTACATATATGCTTTTATGGTCCATGGACATGTCATGCACATTTTGATCAGCATCCTTCCCAGTGTGAAAAACATGTGCATGCTGTCACCAAAAGTGGAGTTGCTGGGTCTAGAGAGATAACCCGTTAAGAATATCTGCTGCTCTTGCAGAGAACTGAAGTTAAGTTTTCAGTACCCACAAACATCTGCAATTCCAATTTCAGGAGATCTGATCTCTTCTGGCCCTCCTCAGGCACCAGGCACACATGTGTGTACAAGTAGGCAAAACACCCACACACGTAAAAATAAGCTAATAAAAATAGAGTAACTTAATATAAGTCACAAAGAAAATGAAACTGCATGTGTCAGCTATAACAAAAAGCAAAACCAGAGAGCATGACAGAAGGAGCTCATGTACAATTGCCTAGTTGTCACTACTGCAGGAACGCTCCTGGACCACAACCTCACACAAATTTCACCAAGGAATACTTCCGCAAGGACAACTGTTATTTTTTGGGTGGGGGTGTGGTTCAAGACAGGATTTCTTCATAGCTTTAGGGTCTGTCCTGAAACTTGCTCTGTAGACTAGGCTGGCCTCAAACTCACGAAGATCCGCCTGTCTCTGCCTCCCAAGCGCTGGTATTAAAGGCATGTACCACCAACCGGCAAGGACAACTTTAATCCTGCCTGATCATTTTCAGACTATTTGTTGACCACTGTGTCAAGATAACTTCTGATATCCTCATATTCTTTTGGATCTGATCATGATCCATTGTGGCACATGATACATGCCTTCCCTTGGCAGTGCTCTGCTATTTCCGAATGGATGCCAAGGTTCTTGAAGCATCTTCAATGGCTTTTGTAGTATACCATTTACATTCCTGTCTAGCCTTGGGTAACCCTAGTATTCTGGTAGACTCTTAACTCTGCCACCAAGGCCCAACATGGCAGCCTTCCGAGGACATCCTGCATTGTACTTCAGCAAAGCAATAATAGTTATTCAGGAAGTCTTTAAAAGGCCCTATCCAGAATGAAATTCCCACTTGGAGTTCACAGGAGGTTCCCCTTATCCAGCAGTGTGATTCTAATTTGCTGTTTCTGTCTCAGGTTTGCTGACTCACACTACACCCCAAACAGGCTGCATACCTGGGCGGGTTGTAGCTTGCAAAAGCAATGTGTCCTCCAAAGGCCAGGGACAGGGAGAAAAAAATCTGGGTGGCTGCGTCCAGCCACACCCGTGGATTCTGAAGAATCTTCATCTGGAATGAACGGGGGTGGCCTCATTATATAGCTTGTCCATCCCACTATTGCAGAACATTTGGCACACTTACAAGCAGGAGGGTGTGACTTGTTCTAACATCTCAGAAGTGAGCCGGCCTGGGGGTAGCCCGAGCCCTGGTTCTGAGATGAGACCGACAAGCCCCTAGCTCAAGAACTTGCTTGTCCAGAGCTTTGAGTCTCTACCCTCCTAGGCCTAGCATTAGGGTATCCTGAGGCGCTCTAGGGAGTAGGAACTATCCATGTACACTCTTTCTCTGGTGCTGGGTGTCCTATACTAACTCACACACCTCTGCTGGCTTCCCTTCAGCCCCGTGCCTATGTTGTCCTCACACTAGAAGTGTGCTGGATAATTCCCAGAGTCTTGGGGTTATCTAGAAGGGCCACGCTCTCTGGGTACAGGCCTCCTGAGTCTTGTATCTCCCTGTTGTGGGGAGCAGGGCAGGGTCAGTACCTGCTCCAGGTGTTGGACACCTGGTCCCCAGTCAGCCTCTCTCTGCCCTGCACCCCAACTTCTTCATGTATCGTCCCACTCAGTTTTCTCCTTGTTCCAGATCATAGTCTTGCATGCCTCATCCAGCCACGATGCCCCTCCTGATTCCCATGAGTGCCTCGGCAAACCTACTACAACATGCCCTGGCCGTGATCCCTAGGAGCATAAGGTCTACTTACGTTGGGAGTGAACAGGTAGGTCAGGCCCTCTGTCGCTCCAGGCAGGGTCAAACCTCTGACAAGGAAGATGGTTAGCACCACGTAAGGGAACAGGGCTGTGAAGTAGATCGCCTGAGGACAACAAAGCATGAAGTGTGGACTGGCTTGTGCCACACAGAAGCCTTTGGAGGAGCAGCTGAGTCGATGTCCAGGGCCCAAGGCCCAGTCCTCTTCTGAGACTGGGCCAGCAGTGGGCACCTGGGGATGTGGGGTCAGGGCGAGATTAGACTCATGACTTGGGCTCATGGCCAGCATCACATGTAGCTCCGTTTTCACATTTGTGCCCTGTGGAGTCAGCTGAGGTAAGCACTGAGGTCCTAGGACACACTGGTCTCTCAAGAACAAGGATTGGTCCCATAAAGAGATGTCCCCTCCTCAGACTTTCTCTTCCCAGCTTCCTTTCCCACTCCTCGCCCTGCTCTTTTTTATTTTTAATTTTTTTGAGATAGGGTTTCTCTGTGTGACAGCTCTGACTGTCCTCACACTCGCTCTGTAGACCAGGCTGGCCTCGAACTCAAGAGACCCACCTGCCTCTGCCTTTCGGTGCTGGGATTTAAAGTGAACACCACCACCGCTGATCAGTACCCTCTTTTTATTCCTCAGGCTCCTCCTTAGATGCCAGACTCCCTCTTCAATTCTCCCCTTCCCCTCCCACAGCCCCAGCTTCCCCCTCTCCTGCTGCCTTCCCGGCCTCCTCCTGCTATGCCTCCCTTCTGCAATAGCTATGGGCTCTACCCGATCTTTCTTGGGCAGCTTTGTTTCTGACCTTGTATCCTTCTGACCCCCTTCTTCAGACTCCCTCCAATCCTCCTAGGCTCACTGGGTACTTTCTTTCTTTCTTTTTGGTTTTTCGAGACAGGGTTTCTCTGTATTGTTTTGGAGGCTGTCGGTCCAGCCCAGCCTCGAACTCACAGAGATCCGCCTATCTCTGCCTCCCGAGTGCTGGGATTAAAGGCCTGCGCCACCACCGCCCGGCCTCACTGGGTACTTTCCATGTGGCTGGTGTCTTCCCTATACCATCCCCTCTCTTTCCCTGACACTCCAACTGGTCACAGGGCTAGGCTCCGTCTACACCTGCCCACACTCTCCCCTCCTACACTCGACCAGCACTGGTCCTCAGCTGGTATTTCAGGCTTCTGCTCAGTAAATGTCCATGTTAAAAGGATCTGCAAGGAACAGTGATCTCTGTGTGTGCCTAATTCGAGGGACAGTAATCTCTGTGTGTGCCTAAGCCCCAGGAAAACAGACCACAGGGCCTGCTGGTACATTTCCAAGAGCTTGCTGAGAACATGACAGGCTGTGTGGATTCTGTGCAGAACCTGCAGGCCCCAGTCAAAGGCAGAGACAGGGTGTGGGGATCCAAATGGCCACCCTCATGGAACTGCGCATGACAACACGGGGGGGGGGGGGGCTTCTGAAGCAACCCCCACCCCATGCCAGAGAATCGCAGTAGCCAGTAGTACCACCGTTCTCTGTCTCTGAAAGACAATCACCTGTTCATAGCAGAGTCAGACAATGCTTGTGCTATTAACACTTTAGAGGCAAAGACAGTGCCAAGCCAGGGAGAGAGAAACAGGAGGAGGTTGTTAAAGACGCAGGTTATATGGGTCAGCCGGTGTTGAGTGGGGGCGGGACAGAAGCGGATCAGTGCGCTTGGCAGCTCTGCAGCAATCCAAGGAGGACACGTGGGATGTAATTTCCCAGAGATAGCGACAGGAGCAGAGGTTTGGCGGACCCACAGGACTCCCAGCCACCCACATTAGATGTGAACGGCCTGAACACCCCAGCAAGGCAAAGGCGGTCAGGGTGGGACGAAAGAGACCCAGTGGATGCTGCCGAAAAGAGCACACATTTAACATACACACACAGAGGAGGGTGCACATGCCGTGTGAACACACAGGAGAAAGCCGATCCCCACTAGACATAGGTCAGTTCCAGGGCAGGCAGGACCAGGAGAAGGAAGCACTGCGAAGCCAAGGGGTATCAGTTCTAGACAGCACCTCCAGGCTCCAAACACACAGTGTGCAGGCAGGGCAACTCACCTTCCCCGTGCTCTCAATGCCTCTGATGACACACAGGTACACTGTTGCCCAGCAGGCCACCAGGCAGAGGAACAGCTTCCACTGAATAGTGCCTGTGTTGCCGATGTCAGATGAGATGTTCAGAGTCTGCCGGTACCAGTAGTAGCTCACAGTGCCACTGCTCTGGCACTCCCGCACAAAGCCTGGAGCCGAGAGCACTGTTACAGGCTAGCCACAGAGTCTGGACACAGTCCATGTCACACCCTAAGCATTACCCATGAACTACAGGTGCCAGCATGGCAGGCCCCTTGCAGCTGGCCTGGCACTGGAGCTACCCTTGAAAGGGCTCCTTGGGTTGTTTCTACTGCTTCCTTTTGGGGCTCAGGAACCACGCATGTGTGTGTGTGTGTGTGTGTGTGTGTGTGTGTGTGTGTGTGTGTGTGTGGTGTGCACATGTGTGCATGGAGAGCAAAGGATAACTTTGGGTATCATTCTTAGAAATGCCATCTGCCTTCTTTGAGACAGGATCTTTCACTGGTCTGACATTCCCCAGTTAGGCTAGGCTGGCTGGTCGGTGAGTCCCAGGGGTATTCCTTTCTCTGCCTCCCCAGCCCTGGGATTATAAACACGCACCACCGCGTACAACATGAGTTCTGGGGATCAAACTCAGATTCTCATGCTTGTGAGATAAGCATTTTATCGACTAATTGACCTCCTCGTTCCCCAGGATCTTTTTCTTGCTTCCCTTTGGAACCAAGGCTAAGATGAAGAACCCCTGCGAGAGGCTGGGTGTCTGTCTGTAAACAAATCTGTCCAGATAGCTCTGGGCTCAGCAGGTAGTCAGAGGCCAAGACTGGAGCTGGAGGACTGGATTTCAAATGCACCCTTCAGGGGAGAGACCCAAGGTGTGTGCCCTGTAAACCTGTGTCTGCTCCAATGCCACACACGGAACCTCCAAGTCCCCAGTGGGTTCTCACCTGTCCTGTTGAGGTCCAGTGGGCATGTGCTCCAGGGCAGTGGGTATTGGAAGGAATTGAGGAAGTACCACAGGACCCACAGAAGAACGGTGTTGTAGTACAGGCTGACCAGGAAGGACACTGAGAAGCAGCCCAGGCCTGCAGACACAGTAATGCACCCAAGGCCAGGTAGATAGACAGCAACGTGAAACCCTTTCTTTACACACGACAGCTTCTGTGTCTTCCCGGCAGTCTTTGCCCTGTTTTCCTATGCCTGTCATGTCTCTCAGCATAGGTGTGCCCCACCCTTCAATTAAGAGGTCCCCAAGGGTCCTGAGCAGGTGACATGGTCTGGGAAGGAGGCATACCTACTCCACCAAGGTAGGGAGAGATGGTCCTCCACACCCCAATGCTGCCCCTTCGTAGGCGCTGGCCGATGGCAAGCTCGATGTAGAAAAGCGGGATCCCCTCAAAGACCAGGGCGATGAAATAGGGAATGAGGAAGGCCCCTGCGGGGACACAGGGCGAGCAGATAACCCGGGGCCCACAGCTGATCAGCGTGGTTAATGACAAGACAACACATTTAGGCAGTTCTCACAAGAGCAGTGTCTGTTCCCAGCATGTTTTTGGGTAATACTGCCAGCGAGAGGGGCAGCAGACCTCAAGAGTGACGTGGAGATCCCACCCAGACCTTAGGGCCTTGGTTGCTTATATTTTTACCTTCCTAACAAAAATCTGTTTGTTTTACAACCCAACCACTGTTTCCCCTCCTTCCTCTCCCCCACCCCAGTCCCCTTATCTCCCCTCTGCCTCCCATACACTCCTCCTCCATTTCTATTCAGAGGAGGGCAAGCCTCCCATGGACATCAACCAAACATGGTACGGGAGTATGTGGGTTCCAAAAGCAGACAGTAGAGATAGGGACAGCCACTGCTAGCACTCTTAGGAGTCCCACAAGAAGACCAAGCTACACAACTGTAACACATATGCAGAGGGCCTGGTCAGTCACATGCAGACTCCCTGGTTGTCTGTTCAGTCACCAAGAGCTCCTATGAGCCCAGGTTAGTTGATTCTGTAGGTTTTCTTGTGGTGTTCCTGACCCTTCTGGATCCTTCAATCCTTCCTCCCCATCTTCTTCAGGATTCCCCAAGCTCTACCTAATGTCTGACTGTGGGTCTCTGCACCTGTTTCTGTCAGTTGCTGGATGACGCCCCTCTGATGACAATTGGGCTAGGTAGGCACCAATCTGTGAATATAGCAGAATATCATCAGGAACCTGGCCCTCCAGCGTCAGGGGTGGACTCCCTCATATGGCATGGTTTTCAAGCTGGGCCAGTTATTGGTTGGCCACTCACACAATTTCTGCATCACCTGTACCCCAGCACATCTTGTAGGTAGGACAAATTGTAAGTTGAAGGTTATGTAGCTGGTGGTGTCCTAATCCCTCCACTGGAAGTCTTGCCTGGTTACAGGAGATGGTCAGTTTAGGCTCCATAACCCCATTGCTAGGAGTCACAGCTAGGGTCAGCTTCTAGATTCCTGGGAATTTCCATCGCTCTGGTTCTCTAGCTCATCCCCAAGATGCACCCCAATTCCAGTTGTCTCTCCCAGTACTCTCTCTCCATCATCCCCCCAACTCATCTCTCTTGTTCCTGTTGCTTATTTTTTAATAGTATCTTGTAGGCTGAGGATATAGCCTAGTGGTTAAAATGTTTTCATTGGAAGCATGAGGATATGAGTTCAAGTCCCAGATCCATGTAAAAAGCTGGACATGGTTGTGCACACTTGTGATCTCAGAGAGAGAGAGAGAGAGAGAGAGAGAGAGAGAGAGAGAGAGAGAGAGAGAGAGAGAGAGAGAGAGAGAGACGTGTAGTTTGTTGGGTAGCCAGCCAAAGCCTATCTGGTAAACTCCCTCTGGCCTCCCCACAAACACACTCACACCCAATATAGAAGCTAAGAAAATCTAGGGCAACAGGTCAGCCTGGTGTCCCAGCCTGACCCCGCAAAGTCACAACTGTCCTATTGGGAGATGTTCCATGTTAGCTCTCAAGACAGTACAACCTATCTGTCTCCTCCTACACCCCCAATATAGAGATATCAGTGTGTGCCCTGAATTTGTAACTATGTGAAGGGAAACAGGTATCTGAGGGAGGGAGGCTGTGTGTGGGGGGGTGACTTGGCTCCTTTACTAAGTAATAGGCTCTCGTAAGTAGAGTTTAATGATCAATAAAATAGTGTTCATAGTCCTAGGTGTCCTGCAGAACCTCTGGGCTCTCAGGGAGAGCTGCTGCATTGGCATTGGGGGTGGATCACTGGTGAAGTCAAGCAACTTGCTATAATATTATCCAAAGAACCAGGAGGAAATTAACCCTGAGTCCAGCTGGACACCAAGGCGGTGATGGGAACCCAGAGTCTGCTGCCTGCATTCATGACAAAGGCATGATGTGACAGGCAGCAATGGTACCACATTCTACCCTTATTCAAGATATCAAAAGGCTGGATACCAAGGCTGACTCAAACACACTAGGCTATTCTTTGGATAATGGCAAGACATAATTGCCAAGAAGAGACAGCTGCCCCTTGAGGGCAGAAAAAGCCAGAGCGAGGGCACGGTGCGAAGCAGGTGACTTACCTCCCCCGTAGGTCTGGCACAGGTAGGGGAACCTCCATATGTTACCCAGCCCCACAGCAAAGCCGATGCAACTCAGGAGGTACTGGAGTTTGTTGTCCCACTTGGGCCTGTCATCCTCCATGTCCACAAGTGGGTCTATCCCTGAGGCCTGCGCCATGCCAAGCGGTCACCCTGGGAGTGGCTGGGAGGCGTGGGTGGACAGTGGGCACCTTGCAGCACGCTAATCCGGCAGGCCCTCTGGAGTCTCAGCTGGACTGAGGACGCTGGAGCAGTTAGCCCCACCTCGAGGAATCTCTCCACTTATTTAAAGAAGCCCAGTTAATTGCTAACCGGCATCAAGTCCCTGCCTACTGCAGAGTCCATCTTCAACACCCGCATCTACCAGCCTGTCTGAGATTTTTCGGTGTCATGTGATCAGTGAGTAGCAGAGCCTTCCAGCACCACACTCGACATAGGCCCGATGCTCCACAGGAAATGCAGGACTCCCAGAATGGCAAGTTCAGTTGGCCATCAAAGTTACTTATTCTGTAATTAGGTCTGTGGTGTAAGTAATCCATGCTCACTTCCATGAGAGACAGCAGAGAAGACCCCAAAGTGTTCTCATCTTCAGGGTGGCGCCTTGAAGCTTATGGAGACAGGAAATGTTGTGGTCCAAAACAATATGCCGGGGGCACCTGCTGCTCCATTAGGCTCACCCCAGTGGCCCCAGAAGCCCAAGCTGCCTGCAGTCTCCTCTCATGAAGTCCTGTGAAAGGACTTGGAGCACATGGCCTATACCTGCAGCCTTTTCCCAGTACAACCTGGGGTTCTTTGGGTTCTCTTACTGAGTAGTGTGTGCTGCCCAGAATGCATGCCACTGTGCAAACTATGCAGCCACCACACCGGTCCTGGCCCAGGTGCAGCTGCTCTGAGGAGCTGATCTTGGCCTTGTGTGGGTATTGGGCATGACCTTCATTTCCCTGGGACATGAAGTTAGGGGGTGCTCCACCACACGCTTAGTCTTCAAGGACACTTATCTTTTCAGGGTCTGTGGATTTTGTGGCTGGCTCTAAACCTCCGTGTTTTGGGTTTGTCAAGAAAAACCCCGCCCCCACCCCCAGGCCACATTTGCTCCAGAATCTCAACACAGCACAGAAGACCCTGTCTGAGTATAGCCCACAGCTCTCCATGAACAAGAGCTTTGAGAGGTGGGTAAAAAGATGCTTCTTCTTCACGTGTAGGGTTCTGCACTAGTGACCTCAGTGTTGTCTGGGGTATCTGGGTCAGACAGAGTGACACAGCCACACATGTTTGTGACGCTCTCCAGATTCTGGGATTTCTCCTCTCATGATTATTATCCCTAGGGAACAGGCTAAAGGCATCTTCAGCCCTTGGGACCTGGAATCTTCACCCTCTTGGACACTGTTTCTGACAACTATGCAGCCACAATTCCAAATATGCAGGCTGCAGAAGCCTAGGGGCTGCATTTATGGGAGATCCTGTTTTGAGCCTGGTAGAAACGAGAGTGAAAGGTTAAGAAGAGACGACGGAGGGAAGTGGAGGGCATGGAGAGAGTCTCGGGTAGGGGCGCACCCCCTTGAGAGTCTCGGGTAGGGGGTGACCCCTACATCTGTGCCGAGCTTGCTTCTGTGCTTCTCTCTCCTCCTACGTCCCCTGTGTTGCTGCTTCTGTCTCCAGCTAACCTCATTCCCATGCAGCCCCCACGTCCCAAGTCCAATGACCTTCTGGTCACCTGCCAGTAGGCAATAGAGTGTGCAAGACTACACAGCCACAGTGCAGTCTTGCCTGTCCCTCTCTGGGCTGTAGGAACTTCTTCAGAGAAATCCCCCAATCCACAGCTGTCTGCAACGTAGGGCTGAACTTACTGAACACATCATTCCTGCAAGTTCTTGGTGCCTGCCATGGGCCCTGCTCATCCTTCTATGCCCGAATAATGACTCTTAATCCAAGAACATAAAATAAGAGTGCTTTATTGAGAAAGGTGTGTTTTAGGTTCATTAACCTAACCTGGATTTCTGTCACACTTGGAGATATGAGGCCTAAGCACAAGGCATGGACCAGAGCTAGCAGAGAATTTGGTTGGTCTCTGGCCAGGCCACACAGGGATCTCTGGTATGCACAATCAATGGGCAACAATCAGTATTTTTCCAGATGAGGCTTCAGAGGCCCACAGGCAGGACCCACTGAAACTACTAGTGTGAGACCCTTCATATTTCCCCCAGGGCCAAGCACCTTCCTCTGCCTCTGTATGGTTCTTCAGGTCATGGCACCCAAGCGATCAGTGCGTATAGAAGAGGACTTTGTAAGAGGACTCTGTGTTTCAACAGCAGGAGCTGCTTCTTGTGGGTGAAGTGTGGCTGGTGACACCAAGTAGGAAGAACATGTCAGGGCCCACCACAGTTTCTCTCCCTTGTCTGTGAGAATTCTCAGAAAGTCCAGTTCTATTTAAATGTGGACTTTTCCATTGAAACAGGAGGGCTGTAACTTGTTGCAATAAATACTCCAAGTCTCAAGTACCTATGACTGAGAATGGATGTGAACCCAGAAACAACCAGCCTGTTGACGGGAAGGGGCAAGCATGACCTCTGTGGCTTCACTGACTGCCACAAGATTGAAGACTTCTAGGCTTCAGTCACTGGGGTGCCCAGGACTCTTGGAGTCCTCAACACAGTGGCCACAGCTGAGTTACCCTGTAACCCTCCTTCTGCAACATCTGGCTAAAGATTTACGGGCTCCTGCTCTCTTCAGAAGTGCACAGGGTGGCTCCCACTTCAACAGAGAAGGGAAAGTCAGCTTGGCTATCCAGCAGCCTGTTCAGAAACCAATGATTAAGCAGGCGTTCAGGAAGCATGGGTGTGCTGGGCCTGACTGAGACAAATCTTCTCAGCCCTGCCAACCCACCAGCTTCTGTGCTTCTCCTTAAGGAGCAGAAGGGCCCCGATTTCTAATTCAGGGACCTTGGTCCAACACTCATAGCAAAGGTCGGGAGATCAGCTGGGAGCGGGCAGGGACAACATGCCCGGGAGTCAGGCAGGCAGCATAGCCTCACCTACTGCCTTCCACTCTGAGGGAAGGAGACCACCTGGAGCCGCCACATCTTCCCTTTTGGCTCCCCTGGGAATTTGCAGTACAAGGTGGGTGCTGAGCCATGTCTGTAGTCCAAGTACTACAGTGAGGGCAGGTGGAGGACAGCCAGGCCAGAACGGTAGGCACATCTATCTTGAGCATACAGAAAACATTTTCACGTGTACCATGTGTACAAGATAGCATATGCATGTGCACGTACCTGTGTGCAATGTACAAACGTAAGTGTACATGTGCGTGTATGTACACATACAACACAAAAATTCACATGTGAAGACACAGACATACATATATATACATAGGTTTATAAGTGCATATCCATACATTTATATACACATATCTATAGAGATATATGTGTGAATATGTTTATACACACATGTGTGCACACATATGTGTTAACACAGAGCATTTATATTCATACAGATAGCACTCATGTTCATATACAAATATATAGGCACATCCCAGTGTATATGCACAAACATATGCACAGCATGCATATACAAACACACACTGACACATATACTCACTTGTGTACACATGTACCACATATGTACATACATACATACACACACATATGTATATATGAGTGCAACTGCAATATACACATAAACACGCCTATGTGCTCCACATGTTTGTGTAACATTTGTGTATACACCTATGTGATGCATGGATGCATGTATGTATACTCTCTCTCTCTCACACACACACACACACACACACACACACACACGCACACACACACACACGCACCCTCACACACATTACAGCCCACTTCCCCCAAGGGTCCTGCCTCTTGCCCTCCTCCACACACCATCTTCTGCCTTCTGTAGGCTAGGCCTATTCAGTACTTCAGGTCTCCATTCACAGAGGCTGTGGACAGTGCATTGACCAAACCGTGGTGGTTCTCAGACTTCTGGCAACGGTTTCTGATGAGCTTGTAGATGGCAAAGCAGGGGATGGTGAGGCAGGGCACCCCAACCACGATGACCACCACTGCATACACCCAGTCGGGATATGGGATCCTATGTGATTTGGGAAACTCCTCCTGGGGAGAGATCCACAGGTAGCAGATGGGGGAAAGGTGTGCAAATCCCCACAATCTCACTTTCTGTTTCTTGGAATGGAACCCTTCTACCCTCCTCGTGCCCCACTGTCTGCCTCCTTCCCCCTCAGATCTCCTCCCTCTCCTCCCAGCCAATGGGCACTTACATAATCAGGGTCCCAGACGCTATACATGAGATTTTTGTTGACCTCAATAACAAAAAAGAAGAGGAAGATGACCAGCATGATCAATGGGCTGACCACTCTCCATGTAACTTGCCAGAAAATGTTGGGCTTGTGGCCAACCATGAACTCGATGTCTTTGTTGAACCTGCAGCAGAGGACAGAGGACAGGGTCACTTGGAAGCTCATGAAGGCAGATGACCGACCACTTTTCTATACTGGACAATGGTTGTCATCTTGGGATGTCGTGCTTTGGCTTTCCCTTGATAAGTTCCTCTAACTTTGCAGGCAAAGATGTGCCTGCACTCAGAGGGGTCCTAAGTTGTCCCTGCCAGCAGCTTCCACCCAAGCTTCTTGAAATCCCTACAGCACTGTAACGTAAGTTCACGTAAGTTCACCGTCAGCGGTCTCATATTCTCACCCACTTCCTGTCATGTGACAGTGAGGACAGTGGGCCACCAGACTGTCCTCCTTCCAGTGCACACAAGACTCAGCAGCTCTTGCACCAGCAGAGGCACCCTGAACTTAGGTGATGCCCATGACTTCCTGACCTGCTGGAAGCCTGCTCTGTGGCAGAACTCCCTTCCATAGACAGGGATTTGTGATCAGAATGAGACATACAGAACAAACTGGCAACTTATCCAGAGCCCCAGCAGACACCAGGACTTAGGTGCAGGGTCAGTGAGAAACTGGGACACTGAGCCTACTGCTAGTCCAGTGACTGTCTTTCTTCACATACTTGGGCAATCACCTCCCCTATGCTAGTCACAGTGGTGTGGAATTCAGACCACTGTGTGTGAGCTAGCGGCAACTATGTTTCAGTACATTCCTTGCCCATGTCTCCAAATGTCACAAAGTCACATGACTGGCCCTGTGCGCCCCAGCCTCCACATTGCCTCCTCAGCCTATAGAGTCTGGTCTCCACTCCTGCTGACATAACCTTGTCCATGTGCCCTGTGCACTTTCATTTCTCAGTGACTTCAAATAGGTTTTCTAGAACAGGACCTCCAGCAAAGGGCTTACACCAACTTAATTTTAATAGATACAGGCAGATCTCTTCTAGAGTGGTCGAAATACTACTCTTCCTGAAGACGTAGCTTCCTGGATCCCTGACCAGCAATGGTAATGATGCTGAGATGTTGGGTCAAGCTGACAGTTGGAAGTGGCCCTTAGTGGACCACTGACTTTTTGTGCCTGAGTTTTAAATAGCTGCTGAGCCCCCCTAGAAGGGCCCATGCATAATCCCAGAAGCACCTCTGATGTAGACCCCAAGTGGATGAATTGCACTGAGCTCTGTCTTGTCTCAAGACATGTGAGGTCCAGGTACCTGAGCCTCTGCTTTGAGGGCCCCAGAAAGGTCATGTTTCAAGTTAGATTGTGTGTGTGTGTGTGTGTGTGTGTGTGTGTGTATGTTATGTATTCAGATGTGTTTGAATTTTCTTGCATTCTCTTTCTCTGGCACCCAAAGTTACTACATGTCAGTTTCTAGTATGCCTGCAAATCCCTGTCTTTGGATAGGTAGCAGGGGCTATTGGGAGTTAGAGACACTATTTAGGTCATTTCTAATAAGAAAGGAGGCACCACTTCAGCAAGGCCAACCCTTCGTCCTCTGGCCTCTCTCCATCTCTTGGACCAAGTTTCAGAACTACGCCAGTGCCAGCCCACTCCTAGGAAGGAAGTCGACACTCATTTGCACAATAGCGAAGGCTTGGTGCCATGACACGCCTTGGCTAGCCTAGGTTAGCAGAGACTCTGACTCAGCTTTTCTGCTAAAGATGGCCCGTCGCCACAGAGATACCCCTCCTACCTGTCCACTCCATACACGTAGACGACAGCAAACATCTCACAAAAGGCGATGATTAGCAGAGGGATGGAGCCAGCATAGCTGTCCAGGAGGGAGAGCCAGTACTGGCCCGAATTCAGCGTGAAAATGAAGGCGATGAGATATGTCCCCAAGCAGATGAGGCCTGTGGCCAGACAGGGAGCAGAGCTGTGGCTAGGACTATTTAACCCAGGGCTGCACCCACCGTTGCCTTGGGAACATAAGCGGGTCTCCCTCAGACAGCAGGCTTCATACATACCTGTCATCAGTTCTTTGGGCCACTTCTTGGGGACGAGGTTGAGGTCCTGAAGGGGTACAACCACCCCCTCCATGTTCCCAAACATGGACGAGAGGCCGAGGCAGAAGAGCATGATGAAGAAGAGTACCGACCACAGCGGGGACACCGGCATCTTCGTGATGGCTTCAGTGAAGACAATGAAGGCCAGGCCTGTGCCCTCCACACCCTGCAGCGATTCACAAGGCCGTCTCGGTTCTCTGCCCCTCTCCTTCCTCTAGGGCCAGCCACTGCTGCTTCCCTTGGTTGCTTCCCAGAAATTGAAAATAAGCCCCTACTGCTGCAGACACCACACACTTTGGACAGAGGACTCAGAGGAGTCCGGCTGGGTATGACCTGAAAGCCTGCTCCCCGAGGACCGGCTTTCCTATCACCATAGGTACTGAGCAAGCTACCAAGGGAGGAAAGCAAACAATGGTTCTCCTCAGCTTGTGAGCCCAGGAATGACTCCTAAAGGCTCAGCAGTGGCATTCTTCTCTTGGCATTAACCAACAGCTGTCTGATTGGACTGAAGGCCCATTCAAAAACAAGGGAAATCGTGTCTGGCACTGGACCAAGCCAGCTCCCCCAGACTAGTGAGGTCATGGATTTAAAAGAAGAACGTCTTCTACTTTACTAAACCTAACTTCCTAACCACGTGCTAAAAATCTAAGAGTAGCCCTCACTCCTCATCAAAGAAACTTTCCTTTGCATCCGATAGAGACCGCTATAGCAAACAATTGGTCAAAATGCAGAGAGGAAGTGATCTTGGGGTGTCCATCCCTAATGGATGCGTTTACAGCACAACTCAGCACCCAAGGTCCAGGGAACATTACAAGAGAAGGGGCAGAAAGATGGAAGGGGCGGAGGACCAGGAAAACAGCTGTGGTATTGCCTTTTATAACAAGGAAGCAACACTCATAAAGCCTGCCTAAACAAGACCAGAACAAGAATAACACCAATAGACATGCTAATGAGGTAGGGGAATCTAAATCTCACTGAGGGGAGAGGGAAGGAGGCAGGCCCCCTAACCAAAGAATTACAGGCAACTAAGGAATGCCAAGAGCAGGAGAATTAGAATGCTCTAAAGATAAGCCTCCTAGTTAGTTATCCAATACCAAGAGATCAACGCTGAAATATTATACATACAAGTAACAGTAAATGGACTCAACAGATTGTATTAATATATATACACACACGTATATACATGTATATATAATATACATATATACATACATACACATGTATAATATAAATGTGCTGATATGTACATGTATTTATTATACATGTCTATACATATATAATACTGATGATATAATATATATATATGTAAAACAATAAAGAAAAAGAGGCCATGAATCTGAGAAGGAGTGAGGGGGGGTATGGGAGGGTTGAAGGGAGGAGCTAGGGATGTTTTATATCATTGATTTCAGAGACTGGAGGGCAGTGCCAGGAGGGTCACAATTGGTGAACAGTGGGTCCTTCCTCTTGTCTGGTTTTTAACTTCTGCTACTTCTAGGGCTAAGATGCTAACTGTGCAAAGCCCCTGTGTATGACTCACAAAAACCAAAAGAGGATCCCTCCCCCTTACCCACACATGAGGCTGTGATGGCGTGGAGATCACCACACCTACCTCAGAAAGGAAGGAGTTTATATCACAGGTCTGGAACTTGAGCTGTGCATAGGCCTCTGGATTGGTAGCATTGCACCACTGCTGGACAGCCTCAAAGTTCTCTGAAGTCACATTGCCCTCAGGCAGGTCGAAGCCGTTGATGAGAGTCAGGATGTTTCTGGTAGTGATGAAAAGGGCTGCTGTGTATCCTAGGTGGGAGCTTCCCAAAGGCTGAACTGATGAGAGTTGGGCAAAGAGGCGTGCCCAAGGTGCTAGGGTGGCAACTCACGTGCTCACACAGTCGTCAAAGCGCTCAGTGGCCCGGAAGCCAATGATGGAGTAGACCACGGTGGCTGCATACACAGAGGTGAAGCCATTGATGACGGACACGATCACAGAGTCCATCTCACAGTTATTGCTGAGGACAAGAGTAGTGTCAGCACAGGACAACGTAGCTGATTCACAGATGAGAATATACGTCCCCTGGCTGGGAGGGAACACACTGCATAGCACAGCCAGTGTGTCCAGGTCTAAGATCGGGTCCCTGAGTGCTCACCAGTGCAGGAAAGGCTAACACGACATAGGACAACCCAGGTCCTGTCATCTGGACACATGTGGGGACTGAGGACGCAAGATGACCAGAGGGCTGTGTCCTGACCCTGAACCAAGCTGAAGCTGTGTCTTCTTTACCGTGTTCCAATCTTCCCCACCCACACAGATCATGGCTATGGAGACCCTCTGAAGGCCAAGAATACCGAGAGTTGGAGATTCCTGGAATCAAATCCCACCTTAGGCCTCAGGCAAGCAGTCAGCCTCACACAAGGGGCAGGCTGCCAGGTGCAGAGGTCCCCATGGGCTAGAGAAGGAGGTCAGATCAGGTTCTCTACTGCTTGAAACCTCTCTCCCAACTCAGGCCTCTCTAAAGATGGGGTTTTACTTATTTAAGACATAGGGTTTTGTTTATGAGAGCAATTATGAATTAGTATTATAGAAGCAATTCAGTCTATAGCCCTAAGGGCTGGGAGAACCCATGGGTTGGTGGGTTACCTGCCTGAAGTAAAATGAAGGAAAAGAGATCCTAGAATTTTCCAGATGGGACGTGGCCATTCTGGCTGGCCCTTTGGACAGGGTAGAGCCATCCTGGTCATCTGGCCTTGCAATGTCTGTGTGCTTAGAAGGATGGATGCTCACCCACAGCACGGGATGGAATGTTTTAGGGTCAGGTCCCAGATGTGTTTCTGACCATCTGAGAGTCCCAGGTTTATGGGCTGTGTGTTCCTGACCCTCAGGGGCATGGCAGACAAGGTCACAGCTCAGGGGCTGACCCAACGCTTTGGCCCTCACTCACCCTAAGCCCTGTTAGACCCCACACTGACTTCCAGTTCGGAGCCTCTGGGGTCCCATCTGGAGACACTCAGCACATCCTGAACATACCCTGATCTCTTTCCTTCTTTCCTTCTTTTCTTCCTTCCTTCCTTCCTTCCTTCCTTCCTTTCTATCTTTCTTTCTTTTTTAGTGTTTTATTTTGTTTTGGGGACAGGATTTCTCTGTGTTGCTTTGGAGCCTGTCCTGGAACTCGCTCTGTAGACCAGGGTGGCCTAAAACTCAGAGATCTGCCTGCCTCTGCCTTCCAAGTGCTGGGATTAAAGGCGTGAGTCACTCCCCATCCCCAGTTTATTTTGATCTTCTTACCCCAGTCTTCCAACCCCAACCCCCAACACAGCTGTCACCAGGCTGCCCCATGATGTGTCAAAAGCACAGGAGCCATCGGAAAAGTGCGCGTCAGACTGCAGCACCACAGCAACCCTCAGCTAAAGGAAGATTACCCCCAAAACAGAGACAACCACAGAAGTTGGCAAGAAAGGGGAACTGAGGCCACCCTGCACAGCTGGAGGGAATTTGTAGTGGTGCAGCGCTGTGGAGAGCAGCCTGGTGGGCACTGATCATGCAATGGCATGATGGTTTTCTCCCCCGAGATATAAACCAGAACACAGCAACGGCTCATTCCGCACAAGCACCACTCACAATTATAAAAGTGGAAGCAGTCAAAGTCCCTTCAGGTGGATGGGTGAGCATAGTTTGGCTGACCTTACAGCAGGTGGTCAACCAGCCACACAGGACCATGGCACCAACACACTCTACACCAGGGAAGCCTCAGGCCAGTGAGAAATCCAATGCCAAAGACTCCCATGACGCCAGTCCTACCCACAGGAAATTCTCAGGCAAAGCAGAGGCAGATACAGGGAAATACTGCCAGTGTATCTGGGAGCTCAGGAGTGTCTGTTCATGAAAATGTCCTAGAACTAGGTAAGGATGATGACTGCACAACTGTGTGAATGCACTAAGGCCATTGGCCTCGTGTAGATGAATCCACATAGCTTAATGTGGATGAACTGCACAGAATACAAACTGAATAAAGATGTTGTAAAAATAATTCACCCACACTCCACTTGGACTCCACCTGCAGTGGCACCTCCAGGGCTGCCTTCTAGAACATTCTCCATGGCACCATAGAAGGCCTTCTGAAGCCTGGGACCCATCCGTCATTGAGTAAAAGGCCGTGATCCAGAGGGAACACCTACTCAGCCACCCAACTACAACACATCCTCTGAAGAGCCTGCCCTCCCAGACCATGGGGACCACAGCCCATACCCTCCAAGAACAGATCCCCCCAGTTTCATACCTATTGCAGACCACACCTCCCAGAACAGACCAACCCTGACTGTCAGGCCTTGTTTCTGTCTCTGTCTGCTGCCTGGGTCTCTCCATGGGCTTGAAGTTCTATCTGATCTACCAGGAGCCTTCACCCACTCCCTGCCCAACTCTAGCCATTCTCTCTTGGGTTTATCCATTCAAACTATCTGATTCCACTGCATTCCCTGAGCCACCACTAGTCACAGAGGACAGTTCTCGTTGCACCATGCCAACTGGTGCTCCCTAAGTAAGTATCACCTACATCCTCCCCGGATGTTGGGGGTTCTTCATAGACTACGACCTTACCAGACGGTGCCAAGAAGGGATGCGTGTCTAAAGCTGGCAGGGTCACAGCCTTCAGGATATGACCAGGGTCTAGGGTGGGCTTCAGGGGTACCAACATACCTGAGGACTGGAGTTCTGAGGCAGGCTGGGAACAATGTAGGCATCAAGTTGGGAGTGGAGGAGGGAAGACGCTAGACCAAGCAGCAGGGATCATTCAGGGACCACCCAGCAAGGGGAGATCCTCTTAAAGCCTGCACCTGCTTTTCCTGCCAGCCCTGCTCTGTTCTTACACGGGACTGGTCAGAGGGCAGCTGCTGAGTCACACTGGCCAACACTGGTGCTGGGTGCTGTGCTTTTGAAAACACCTTCCTCTCCTTCTTAAGCGCACAGCAGAATTCCTCCTGCTCTGACAGGGAAACTGAGACCCCAGAACCAAGGGGCCCCTGGAGTTCCCACAGCCCCTGTCCTGAGGGCCCTCCCTCCAACTCCATACTCACTGCACAGAGTTGTAGCTGGAGAAGGAGATGAGGCCCCCAAAGGCCAGTGAGAAGGAGTAGAAGACCTGAGCGCCTGCATCCAGCCACGTGTTCGGGTTGCTCAGCTCCGTGATCTGTCACACAAGGACTCAGCTGTGACTGCAGGAATCAGGCCTCCCCTTCCACTGAGAAAGAAGCTAACTCCTTCCCCACAAAGGATGCCATTCTACAAGGAGGAAAAGTCAAGCCACCGAATAGTCCCTATATGTTAAAGGCCTGTGAACAGGCCGTCCCCTTGCCAGGCCCTTCTTAGCCAGGCCACTGGCCTGGGCATCAGACAATTGGCTGTCACCATATAGAAAGAAGCTGGCCTTGAAGCCAAGAGGATCCAGCATGGACTTCTCCCCTGGGATCCAAGCCCTGGGGCAGTCAGCTGATAGATGGCAGAGACTCACATTGGGTGTGAAGAGGAAGACTATGCCGTTGGTGGCACCCTTCAGAGTCAAGCCACGGATGAGAAAGATGGTCAGCACGACATAGGGCAGTGTGGAGGTGATGTACACAGCCTGTGGGGAACAGTGTGGGGCGGGGAGACACCACACAGATGGATCAGAGGTCAGACAAGGAAAGGGGGGTAATTCAGAGTGCCACATTCTTCCCTCTGCCAGAGTCACCCTAACTCGGTGCAGGGAAGATGGGGGCCTCACTCTTCTATTTCCCAATTTCTCTTGTCTTCTGATTCAATGGAGAGAGATCTTGGACTGGTCTTAGACAACGTTTTGCAATGTGTGCTTGAAAGTCATCTTGGGCTGCACAGAAGCCACAGGCCTCCAACTAAGGCCTCGTGTGTGCAAGTCCAAGGACAATGGCCCTCAAGATTGGTGACAGGAAGCTGCATGCTCAGCGGTGTGCTGTACCTTCCCAGTGGTCTCGATGCCACGAATAACACACACGTACAGCACACTCCAGGCACAAGTCAGGCAGAGCAGGATCCACCACTGAATGGAGCCCGAATCGCTGATGGAAGTGGAGATGTTGAGAGTCTCTCGGTACCAGAAGTAGTCCACAGAAGAGCTCTTGGCACACTCCTCCACGTAGCCTACAGAAGCAGATGAGCGCACTGTCAAGCTGTAAGTCAAAAGCAGGGCCATCCTTGGGGATTCCTGGGGACGTCCCTAGTGTCAGGTTTCTCATTAGCCCCACAATGGCTGCCTCTATCAAGGCATCTCTTTCCTTGTTGTCCCTCTCTGTCCTTGCCCCAACTTGTCCCTCATGTTCTCCTACCCCCCCCATGGAGGGGTACCTAGCTCAGCCTAGATACAGGGGGAGGGCCTTGGTCCTGCCTCAAATGACGTGACAGACTTTGATAATTGCCCATGGGAAGCCTCATCCTCTGAGGATTGGATGAGGGGCAAGGGCAGGGGAGTGGGAGGAAGGGAGGGAGAGAGAACTGGGATTGGTATGTAAAATAGGATTGTTTTAAAAATAATAAAATAAATATAAAACAGAAAAAATAAAAAGCAGAGACAAACCAGGAATAAGCCAGGGAAGATGGCAACCTGAAACATTAAGTGGCATTACCTAGCCAGGGTCTGAGGCATTCACAACAGGATATACTTGCACACATGAATATAGCCTCACATACACACATGGGCACTCATGAACACACCCACACATCTGTACCCACATGCCACACAATCCTACATGTTCACGTACATACCTGTTTGTACATAGGTGTAGGTCTATGTGAAATCTTCTAAAAGACACTGTTGGGCTCTGGTGTGAGCCCAGGCCTCTGAGCACCAGCTCCTCCCTAACTCCCGGAAGAAGGCCCCTACCACCACTGAAGCAGCAGATTCGCAGACTCTAGGACTCTAGCCATGGCCCTTCTTATTACAGTCCAACTCCATGTTATCTCATATTATCATAGGTATCTCTTCCTCAGAGAACCAACTGGGATTCTCCTACTGGAAGAGACCAATCAAGATCCTGGGGAAGACTTGTCCTTTGACGAACAGGAGCCCATCTTGAGAGTTCATGTGAAATCCTCAGAGCTACTCTGTGGTGGTAGTCAGGACAGCAGTTATGAAGCAGGCTGTTCACGGCCCTCTGCAGCTACGTGTATCTCCATGAGCCAAACGTGTTCCATAGGTCATGGGCAAAGACCTGCGCCTCTCTCTCCACAGGAGAGGGGCCTGAGAAGGTAGGGGTGACCAAAGCACACTTGTGGCAGAGTGGCCTCTTTGTACAGAAACCCAGGGAGCATGGTGGAGGGGAGCAGGACGTCTCCTTCCAAGCACCTGCACCCTCTTGTCTCACTAGGCCTGGCTGGTGACTGGGAGCCATCCTCACACTTCCCATGGCTCCTCTTCTGATGCTCTCAGCCATGTGACCAGCATGACATAGGAAGTCATCTTGTTTAAGGCTTTCTTCTTGGACTGTGGATCTGTGTGCTGTTTCATTGTGAGCCTACCTAGCCTGGACCTCACAGTGTAGGTCAGCCTCCCAAATGTTGGGGTAATAGGAATGCCTGTGGATCTCTCTCTCTCTCTCTCTCTCTCTCTCTCTCTCTCTCTCTCTCTCTCTCTCTCTCTCTTTCGTGTGTGTGTGTGTGTGTGTGTGTGTGTGTAGGTTTATGCGTGGAGGCCAGGTATCAGTTTTGGGTATCATTCCTCAGGACCTATCCGTCTTATTTTTTGAAACAGGGTTTCCCACTGGGACCTGGGCTCACTAAGTAGGCTAGGCTGGATGGTCAACAAACCCTTAAGATCCTCCTGTCTCTGTTTTGCCAGCTCCCGGGCATTGCGGGTGACACATGCTTAACTTTTTATGTGGGTGCTTGGGATTGAACTAAACTAACTACACCATCTCCCTGGCCCTGACAACATGAATTTTTAAATGTTCTGTTGCCTCAAAGACGCTCTGGCTTTTGTTAATCCTGGTCTCTAAGCATCCAGTTCTTGCACAATGAAAGGGCATGTAGCCACAAGGTTTGATTGTCTGTGTAAGAAGATGCCAGCAGTCATTTCTTCCACTCTCCTACAAGCTATATGGGACAGAGCCTGAGGAATAGCAACCGCACTCCACTGTCTAGGGCCAAGGGCTCACCTGTCCGGTTCTCGTTGAGTGGACACTCACTCCACGGCAGAGGCTCTTGAAAGGAGTTGAAGAAATACCACATGACCCAGGCGATGATGGTGTTGTAGTACAGGCCCACCATGAAGGACACAAACATGGAGGCAATGCCTGTGGGGAGGGATGTCACTGTGGAGGGTGCACACGTATCTCTAGCAGGTGAGTGCATGAACACCAGTCTGTGTTGTCCCTCTCCAGGGAGTCAGTAGGACACTGGGAAGGGCCTGCTCCCCGGCCTTCAGAGCAGACACAACCCAGACCTAGAAATGTGATACCACCTGTTTGATCTCCTGATTCTCCCAGAGTGAGATCAAGGTCCCAGCACTCTGCATCCTCGCCTGCTCCACCTATGACCCCAAAAGATGTATGGAGTCAAGTGGTCACAGAGCCCTTGCAAAGAGCTTTTTGGCAATTTCAATGGGGGTGGATCTGCCTCCACTTGACCCACAGGGAGGCCCACTTGACAAGTCCCAAACCAAAGTGGGTAGACTCAGGAGAATCTCTGCCAAAAACTAGTGAGAAAGGCAAGCAGAGATTGTAGTGGGCAATGGCTCAGCATCTGGGACAACAGGCTGAGCAGTAAGCAGTTCATGAATGTGCTTTTTTTATTTTGAAACTAAAATCCAAGTATGTGTGAAAAGAAAGGGAAGGAAGAGGGAAAGTGTAAGATCCTGAGACTCAGAGGGTTGGGTGCCAGGGCAGAAAGGGCTTGACATCAGGGAGTGGCCATTGCGTGGGCTATGGGCTGTCCAGCATTGGACCTCTGGGATAAACACATCTGAACTCTCTGTCCGTGGACCCTGCCCTCTTCCCTGGCTGGAGAGCCCACACCACTTAGGTGCATTCTGAGCTCTCAGTGAGCCATGTCCTCTTGGTGAGGCAGTTTCCAAGCCAGAGTTTGTAAATGAGTGACCACATCTGGATTGGGGGCAGTACCAGACTTCTTCGATGAGTGTGTAGGAGTGGACAGAGCAGGCAGCCAGCTCCCCCTTCTGGCCCTGGAGGCTTTTGTCCTAGGAAGGTAGGGTTAACTATTCTCACCCAGCATCTCCATCTTCCTTGTGCCCTGGGTTGTGGGGACTCAGGCGACCTCTGCTGGCCTCTCTGTTCCCTGATGACCATGAGTAGGCCAGCCTATATGCTGCAACCCACATTCCCAAGGATTCTAGTGAAGGGTTCCTGAGGATCTCTGGTAGAACGTGAGCCTGGAATTGATTGTGAAAGCTAAGGAGAAACTAGACTGGGCCCTATAAATCTCAGGCCAGCCCGAAGCATTGACACACACCTACACCCTTCAGAGCCGGGTTGATGGAGCTCCACACACCCACACTGCCTTTGCGTAATCTCTGGCCAATGGCAAACTCCAGGTGCAGCAAGGGAATGCCCTCCAGTACCAGAAGAATGAGGAATGGGATCATGAAGGCTCCTGGATGGGAAGAAGCAAGACATGACAGGTCAGAACACCACATGGGGACACGTACTTTAAAACCTTTGTTCTAATGACTGGATGCCACCAACACCCCTGTGGCACTTGAACAGAGCTGATATATAGGGGTAAGCCATGCGAGTGGAGCCACAGCAAACTTTACAACCAAGAAGGATCCCTTAGGTGGACAGTCTCCATCATCTTGTTCCATGTGTCAGCACTCCCTCCTGGTTTGAAGAATGTTGTCATTAAACAAAACATGACACGGTGCCTCCATGCTCACTGGCAGTAACACAAAACCACATATGGGCCTAGTGACTAGGGATGAGTTGGCCTCAGGCCCCTCACTGACCAGAACCTTGAGAACAGAGGGACAGAGTCACAACTTCGGAGGTTAACTGCTGTGGGGACCATGTGTCACTGCACCATCAACAATGCCAAATCTGCTGTCAGACCGCAGAAGAGATCTCTTTACTGGTGACGGTGGGCAACTAGGGGAAGAAGCAAGCGCTCCTCGGCTTGGAGCAGCTCTGTTTACTGTATGTGTTCTTTACTTCAAAACATAATAAGGACAGTAACTATCTCAAGTAACTGGCCACACTGCCCTCATCTGTGCAAACCTTTTGTACTTATAGACCTACCAACCCTAATATTAGGAAGTGTGTCTCTCTCATGGTTTAGGATTCTTCAGTGGTTGTCTTGTGTGTTAATTATATTTCTATAAGAACTACATTAATGAAAACAGTTTAAAAAACGTATGACACGTAACAGTATTGAGATTCGAGAGACGGCTCAAGGGTGCTGAGCACTTGTTACTCTTGCAATAAGTTTCTTCAGTTTCTAACATCCACACGGTGGCTCACAGCCATCTGCAAACCCAGCTACAGGGGGTCTGACCCTTTCTTCTGACCTGCAATGGCATTAGGCATGCACATGATATGCATACATATATGCAGGTGGCTCATACACAAATAATAACTGAGTAACTCTAAAAACAGAAAAAATCTGAGTGTGGTGGCACATGCCTTTAATCCTAACAGGAGGATCTCTGTGAGTTCTAGGCTAGCCTGGTCTACATAGTAAGTTCCAGAACAGCCAGTACTGTGTAGAGAGACTCTTCCTCAGAAAGAGAGAGGGGGGAAGGAAGGAAGGAAGGAAGGGAGGGAGGGAGGGAGGGAGGGAGGGAGGAGAGAGAGAGAGAGAGAGAGAGAGAGAGAGAGAGAGAGAGAGAGAGAGGAGAGGAGAAAACAACCACTACATAAACAGAGTTGAGAAGACAGCCTGTGGAATAAGAGAAAATATTTGCAAGCTACAAGTCTGGTAAGGTATTAAATTTCTCAGAATATTTAGAGGAAAAAACTCAAACAAAATCCAACTTAAAGATGGTCACAGACCCCCCAAGAGCTGTTGACCCAGAGAAGATGCACAGATTCTAGTAACACTTGAGAAAATGTTCACATCACTGCACACGCAGAAAATGTGAGACACTACCTTACTCCATGAAGAAAGCTACAGAAGCAAAAAAGAAACTTACAAGCTCATGAAGGGGTGGAGACTAGAGCCCTCAATACTGTTGGTGAGGAAGCAGAATAGTGCAATCACCATGGAAAGCTTAGGTTCATTCCTAAAAGTTAAACATAGAACTACCATGTGACCCAGAAATCCCATTTCAGAACCCAAGAGAACTGAAAGCTGAGCCTCAATGAGATGTTTGAGGCCTGTGTTCATAGTGGCATCATTCAGTGACTGGGGGAATAAACACACCTTGGCCCATTCATACAGTGGAATTTCAACACAGGGAAGAAGATTAGAGGATTTTGTTGAGGTAGGCAAAATCTAGTCACCAAAAGTCCAACTGGTCTACCATGCCTGTAGACAAGATGTCCATAGAAACTGTAGAACAGAGGTTTCAGGAGTGGGAAGCAATTTGGGGTGATGATAATGGGGACAGTTTCAGTTGGAAAGGATGAGAGTTCCAGGAATACAGAGTGGTGATTACACAGATGCACTTAAAGCCACTAAACAAGACATTTAAAAATGGCCAAGAGGCACATTTTAAGAAATGTGTTTTTTCTCACACAGGAAAGCTGAGAGCAGAAAACACATGAAGCCTCTCTATAGCTACGGTGGTAATCTTTCCACCACAATTCCATCTCACCTGAGGGAACACTTTAGTTATCACATTTGACCTCAGATTTTGAAATGGTAATAATTAACCTTTGGAAACACTCCTCCACTGCTGGTGGGAGTGCCAACTCATACAGCCACTTTGGAAATTAGTATGGAGATTCCTCAGGAAAATGGGAATCAGTCTACCACAAGATCCAGTAATTCCACTCTTAGGCATATACCCAAAAGAAGTGCATTCATACAACAAGGACATTTGTTCCACTATGTTCATAGCAGCATTATTTGTAATCGCCAGAACCTGGAAGCAACCTAGATGTCCCTCAACTGAAGAGTGGATAGAGAAAATGTGGTACATTTACACAATGGAATACTACTCAGAGGAAAAAACAATGGAATCTTGAAATTTGCAGGCAAATGGATGGCACTAGAAGAAATCATCCTGAGTGAGGTAAACCAGTCACAAAAACACAAACATGGTATGTACTCACTCATATACAGATTTTAGACATGAAGCAGGGGAGTGCCAGCCTATAATCCCACTGCCAGAGAGTCTGGGAAACAGGGAGGACCCTAAGAGAGATATACATGGTACCCTGAAGAAGAGAAATGGGAGAGGATCTCCTGAGAGGATTGGGAGCATTGGAGGAGGGGAAAGGGAGCTGGGAGAAAAACAGGGAGAGAAGATGAAGGGAGAGGAGGACATGGGGAAGCAGAAAGGTTGAGTCGGGGTAAGAATAGAGGAGAGCAGGATGAGAGATACCATAATAGAGAGTCATTATAGGTTTGAGGAGAGATCTGGCACTAGTGAGATTTCAGAGATCTACAAGAATGACACCAACTGGCAATCTAAGCAATAGTGGAGAGGCTACCTTAAATGCCCTTCCCCGATACTGAGATTGACAACTACCTTGTATGCCATCCTAGAGCCTTCATCCAGTGGCTGATGGAAGCAGACACCCACAAATAAACACTGAACTGAATTCCTGGAAACCAGTTGCAGAGAAGGAGAAGTGGTGAGCAAAGGGGTCTAGACTGGGCTGGCAAAACCCACAGAAGCAGCTGTGAGCCCACTATGGTCTGATATACGTCATAGGACTTCATGCCCAAGTGTCTCTGGCATAGGCCCCTGGACCTTTCACAAAGAACTCGAAGACATCCCCACATCCCAACACCACTCAGGATGCTGCCTTGTATCCTGCCAGGTCAGGGCACCATCATCCTACCTGACAGAGACAGGAAGAGACACAGAAATAGAAAGTCAAAGAAAGAGGTAGAAAGGGGCAGAGGTGGACAGGGGAAGGAGATAGGTGAGAAGGGACAGAAAAAAAGAGACTAGAACAGATAGACAAGGAAAGACAAAAAGAATCAAGGGAAATTAGAGAGATGAGAGACGGGGGAACCAGAGACAGGGACAGGAGAAGCAGACACAGGAAGAGACAAAGAGGGATGGAGGGAAACAGAGGAAGATGTTCTCCTTAGATCCCTGGGGTTGACCTGGTAAGTGAACCACAGATGGCAGGCCAGCACTTGTTTTCCTTGTGCCCCACACAGGGGAGCCAATCATGTGGGGTGGGTTAACTGCGACAGTCTTGAGGTTCCTGGGGTGGGGCCCATATGGTGTTCCCAGATCAGAGCAACATGCTTGGTGTAGATCTGGGCTTCTGTAGAAGGTGACAGAGTCCCAGCCCTGGATAGCATCATCATCTCTGAGCTACTGTACTACCTCTCCACACGGTGTGGGGGCAGAGGAAGAGAATACAGGTATTGGCCAGGAGGAAGCTGGGGCTACAGGATGGAGCACCAAGGACTGATGTCCTAAGGTCCCCAGAGATAAGGCCTTTTGCGCTGCCTGGAGTCCTTGGCATTTGCTGTTTACACGGTAGAGCTCATAGCTGGAGGGCAGTGGAGTGTGCAGCTTGAAGAAGACCCAGCTCTGCCTTTGAGTCATGAGTGGGAAGCAGGCACAGGGGGAGATGAGAGGAAGAGTGGAGGAGCTACGAGGGTGAAGGCCAGCGCAGCAGTGGAGTCTACCCTGTTTCTTTCTCCAGCAGAGGCTGCACACACTTGCACATGGTTGTACACAGGTCGCCAGGACTAGACCAGGGGGTTGTGGGCTCACTGTGCAGAATCACTGAAGGATGCCTGGAAAAGGCTGGGAACATTCTGTGGGGACCAACGTGGTCCTTGGCAGGAAGGCAGCAACTGGGCCAGCACCCATGGCAGCCAACGTGGACACAGAGCAAGACTGCTGGGTTCCCCAATAGCCTAAGGCTAGGACACAGATGAACAACCATGTCCAGGGCATCCTGGGTAGATATGCAAACTTCTGTGTGTGAAAAAGTTGTATTGGGGCCCAGCTGACAAAGGCTAGCCCATGTAACTGACCCAATGATCTCCTTGGGTTTGCCAAGTACAGCCCCCAAGTAGGCTCAGCATTGGAGACAGCCTTAGTGTCACCCATGATGTTCTTCCCATTTCAAAGATGAGAACACTAAGGCAGTACCAATGATCTAGGAGGCTGATCCTGGACTCCTGTGTGTCTACACTGCCTTGAGCAGACAATCTTCAGGAAAAGGGCCCAGAGCAGGCCCATCTCAGCTGGGTTCCCTGTGTAAGTTAGTGACTGGCCTGAGTGATTTTTGGAGGACAGTCCGAGTTCCCAAGAGTAAAGCTGTGGAGGAGCCAGGGCTGCCTGCTTCTCATGTCTGCTGGGCCTCAGTGGTCCATGCTGCACTTGAGGTTTGTGTAGATGACAAACCTAAGAACTATCAGGAAGCAGGATATCAAGGTTACAGTCTAAGAGTGTTGGATCCCCAGGAACACCACCGGGCTCAATTGTCCCTTGCCTACTAATACCTGCCATGGTCTCTTGTCCCCTCTGGAGGCTAGATGAGGCTAGCCTCACCTGCAGGCTTTCCCTGCCAGGGTACAGAGTTTCAAGTTAGAAAAACTCCACTATGCAATGGTACTGTTTGTGAAAAGTCATAAGAACAAGAAGCCAACTCCCAGGTCAGGAGGACCATCTCTGGGTCCCACTCTTTTGAGTCCACCTGGCCCAAACACAGACTTCCCTTCCTTCTGGGAGATTGTCTGGTCTATGGGGGATGTGGGCAACATGGACCAGAGTGACCCAAAGATGCATGGCTCCGCCAAGACATATTCTTCCCACTTTACCTGGGCTGTCCCTCTGAAACCTAAGCCCAGTCCCTCTCAGGAAGTCAAATGTCAGAACAGTGTGAGCAAGGGACCAGGGTTGGTACAGAAGTCTGCGGTACAGCCTGATCCACAGACCATTGCACCACACACCTACAGCAGCAGCACCACAGCCCGAGGTCCCCAGGGCATTGTGAGCTCAGAGACGAGATGATCTCAGGTGTTGGGAATCCCCATTAAATGCCCACTGAAGCCTGGCCCTTAGACACAGCTCTTTTGTGGAAATCCTGAACAATTCCTTGTGGGGCAGGCTCGGTCCAACCCTTTTCTCCTAGGCACAGAGCTAACAAATCTGCATCTTGTCTCCTACCCTCCATTCATGTGACGCCTTCATACGCCTAGAGCTCCCCCACAGCAGGGGAATGCAAGGGAGCCTGAGGGCACCCTGCCTGGGCAGAAGTTGGAGGAAGGTCAGGGTCTGTTTCTCTAACCTGAAACTGCTTGTTGTGGAAGTCTCTACCTCCAAATGCGGTCCTGGGAAAGAAGAGGTAAATCCAAGGACAGGAGGTTGGAAAACCTTGGGTCAGTTCTGTTTAGGTCAACTGGATAGCAAAACCCAGGACTGTCAACTCTCTCATTTGCTGCAGAGCCTGGCCTGAGTGCAAGGTACTGACAGAGTCATAGATAGACAGCCAACCCACACATCTGCACAGCAACACAGTGGCCGTGTCAGTGTTACTGTGACAATGTCCCATCACAATGCCAGTGTGTGTCTGCACAAACTGGCAGTAAAGAAAGCTCCTGAGTCAGAGAATCCCGCTTAAGAGGAGAATGTCTGGAACCCCACCTGCGGCACACCCCAGACCCAGCAGAGCCAGTTTCTACAGAAGTCAGGCCTGCCCAGACCTCCGCAGCCAGTGCCACATTAGGAAGGCAGAATCTGGGCTCCAGGCAAGGAGCAAAAGCAAAAGCTGCCCTGAAAGTCCAAGGCTGTGTGTGTGTGTGTGTGTGTGTGTGTGTGTGTGTGTGTGTGTGTGTGTGTGTGCGTGTGCGTGTGTTTCCTGGGTGCAGCAGTCTTTGTGGGGCTGGGGATAAGAAAAACTGGAATACCAACTGGCAGAAGTTGTTTCTGTGGTGTAGGAGCCTGTGGGGCAGCTATGCCTGTGATCTCTGCACCCTGGCTGTGCCTCTCTGAACCACCCAACAGTGTGTTGTGGACCACCTTCAGTGGAACAAGAGCCAGAGTCTGGGTCTCTCTGAAAGGGAGGTGCAACTGGAGAATCATGGGCCTCGCTGGGGAAGCCAGGTTTCTCTTAAAGGCTGCCACACAGGCTGAGGTTTGTGGGTCACCGAGTGTGGCAGCCCTGCTCAGTACATGTCGTTCCAGGACCAGCCAAGAATCCAACAAGACAGGCTCCATCCATGCCATCCGTCCTCTGGGGGTCACCCTTTGGATCCCAACTCTTTCTCTTCCAACTGTACCTCCTGAAAAGTGGGTGAGTGTTCTACCCTCAGGGAGGGGTGTCAACTTAGGGAAGTAGCCAGATCATCCTCATCTCCAGGGGGGATTGTTTGGCAGCCCCACATAAACCACCTGATTTGTGTGGTGAGGGAGGAGCACATCTCTCTCGCTAACAACCCTTACCTCTTCCTTCCCTGTCTGTGACCCTTTTGGGTGCTGAATCCTGGAAATGTCCATCCTGTGTCCTTGGTCCATGTTGTTACTCCTGGGCTCTGACTTTAGCCTTAACCCATACCACACCCAAGCCCCAACCTGGGTCCCGACTCCTACCTCCTCCATGGCTCTGGCACAGGTAGGGAAACCGCCACACATTGCCCAGCCCCACACAGAAGCCCACACAGGTGAGCATGTACTGGGCCTTGTTGTCCCATTTGGGCCGGGAGCTAGCCTCTTCCTTCTCAATGACCTCCAGTTCATCCAGAGATGGAATCCGGTCCTCTAGGCCAGGGTTGGGCAGTACAAGCCTCACCATGGTGGTCGCTGGGTTGGGCCTGGCACACACAGGCAGTTCAGCAGCCAGAAGGCAAATGGTGGTGGCCAGGAGCCCTGGCTCTTTATAGAGAACCTTTGGCACCTCACCCCAAGCTCCTGGACCGAAAGGAGGCGTCAGCAGATCCACAGGGCGCGTCTGCAGCGCTGTTAATGCCTTATCTGTGGAGGCACCCAGCCCAACCAGCTAAGCCACCCCCTCCATACACTGACAGGAGGTCCTGCCTCAGGTCTGGTCACCCCTCCCCCTGTACAAACCCAGACGTACGCCAGGGTTGGGTGTGGAGGGGGACAGTGCCAAACCCACTCTCCAGGAAAGAGGGAGGGACCTCCACCGACACATAGATCAAATAGATAGATTGTGTCTGTTGCTGTCCGTGCAGACCAACAGGATGCTGGTTCTCCCCAGACTATTGGAGCTTCCAGAAATCTATCCCACCTATAGGAAACTGAGCAGGGGCTTGCCTACCCCTTCATTTTTTCTGAAGATGGTGGAAGGTCTGTTCCCTAGTTGCTGCTCACATGAAATGCCACAGTACGGTGTGGGTTCCTCCAGGCACAGCTTTGTGCTCTAAATGCTCCTCAGAGGATCTGTGACTATGCCCAGCATCCGGAGCCCCGCAGGATCTCTGTTCTTCCAGGGAGCACTTAGAGGATGAGGAGATTGCTTATGCTGATGCCAGGCAACCATGGTGAGGAGGCCGTGTCCCCAGCAGAGTGGCCAGCTGGGAGATAGAGAGAAGCCAGTATCACACCAGGGATGACTGCCAGGCGCCAGGAAAGGTTGAGGGTGACAGGCCTTACTTGGCTTTTGAGGCTAGAACGCCAAAGAAAAATTCCCAGGGGTTATGCCTAAACTAAGGCCAGAAGCAGAGATAGGATCCCTGCCATGCAAATTTTGCAGGGTAGGGTTTAGATGGGGCATGCTCTCTGTACTAAATATCTCCTTTCTGCCACCCCTGCCTACCCCATGACTCCTCCACCCCTGGGAACTATCCTCAGCTTCCTGAGGGCAAAGGATAATGCTACCCTATGCCCCCTACAGGCCTCCCTTCTCAAATGCCCCTCCCATCTGCCTTGGTCCAGCCTCAAGGGTCATCTCTCCAGGAGGGCCCTTCCTGGACTCTACTGATCCACCCTCCCCCACAACATGTCCTTGCCACCCATGGCCTTCCTAGAATTCACAGGACTTTTTATTTTCTGTTGTCTTTCTTCCTTCTCATTGTTCTCTTTTGGAGAAAAATGATGATAGGACTTTTAAATGCTGTCCCTGGTTATTTATTTCATCAGTGCTCAGCACCACAAATGATAAAGCCCCAAAGCCTGGCTTTGTCTGCTTCCCTACATTAGCTCCCACTGATGGCCCTGAATAGCTGACATGAAAGGGGGCATCACTCAGGGCAGAGCAAGTTCAGGGGCCCGACCTTTGACCGGCACATTGAGAAACTCTGATAGGGTGGAGGCCAGAGGAGAGACAAAGTTTACATTTGGAATATCCTGCCTACAGCAGGAGAGGACGAAGAGAGAAGGATGGAGGCAGAGACACAGAAACATCGAGCTAGAGAAAGAGGCAGAAATAAAGACAGAGACAGACAGACAGACAGACAGACAGACAGACAGACAGACAGACACAGCAATACAGGGATGCCCAGGCCAGGTGGTGGCGTCTAGGGTCAGGGAAGGAAGGACAGTGTATGGAGGGAAGGAGATGTAGCCTGACCCGGAAGACCCGGAAGGCTGAAGTGGGGACCCAGCCCTGGACAGGCAGTATGAGGCCTATGGGGATGGCAGGAAGGGCATTGTCCATTCAGGCCTCTCTGAACAGACCAGACTTTTTTCCTCCCCTCAAGTACTCCTCCAGACGTTTCCACAAAAGAAATGAGTTAGAGGATCCGGGATATGGGCCCACGTCACCTGGGCAACAGCCTACGTGATCAGTGCAGAGGCCTCACATCCTGTGGGTGAGTTGCCCACAAGCTGTCTAATGCCGGTCATTTCCTGAGAAAATGGCGGAAATGACTCTGGCTACAAGGCTGAGGGGACAGGCCAGGCTCTGTGCCAGGACTGGAATCCAGGCAGGAATTTTTCTGTGAGCCCCGTGGGGGCCTACCATTACCACCTATGTTTTCCCGAGAACCTCCTCGGTCCTGCATGTGCCTCATCCCCTGCAGGCGCCTCCGGGTGGGTGTCCCTCCTGCCTCACAGCCTGAGTGGCAAATCAGGGTAGGGACAACTGTCTGGGGTCAGAGCCGGGCCTTTTAAGTCTGGGGATCTGGCCTTGTGGCTGGGCATGGATTGACTCAGGCCGATGCTTCCCTGATATGAAGGGTCTCTTGATTCCTGGCTTTTTGTGCGGTCTAGAGGTGGCCTCCCATGACCTCAGCTCCTCAGATGTAGAGCAGCCCAGAACAGCATTTGCACTGCCCAGACACTGTTACAGGATCCTTCTTCCTGCTCGGAGTGCTCCAGTGTCACTATCAGCAGAGGCCGCCAGCCCCCAGGTGGTCAGCAAAGAGCTACCTGCCTGCTCTCAGTAGTCTTAGCGGCCCGTTCTCAGTCCTCACCTCCTGGAAGCCCCACCCAGGTCCCTCTTTTTGCCCACTGCTGCTTCTTTCCCAGCGATGAAGCTTATGAGTTCAAGCAAACGGACCGCACACACCGTGTGCCAGAGCCCCGAGTGGATGGATGCCTAAGGCCGGTGAATCCCGGAGATCTGTGGGTCTCCTTTCAGTGGGGCTGGAGACCTGTATATCCAGCCCCAAAGAACCTAACCAGGTTTTGGCTCTTTCCCACCATGTCCACTGGTCACACAGGGCCTTCCAGATAGGCAAGTTCCCCGCCAGAATCTGGGCCAGTCCAGGGCTGCCAATGACGGGGTGGGGTGGCTGCATGAGCCTTTTGTTTTTACTAGAACTACGTTTGAAAATGATAATTAAAAAAAAAGATTAAAACCTCCAGAAAATGTTGTCACTCAAATCTCAATGTTCAGAAAATGTGGAAGCCTCCCTCAGCACCTGAGCCGAGGAGGTGATCGGGGCAGACAGGACAGAGTCCCGCCGAGGTCCTGTAGAATGACCTCCACACGCTGTCAGGTTTGCAGTCAAACAGCCTGCCCACCTCCTGGCCCCATGCCAGCACTTGGGGGCAGGTTGTTAGTTCATGTTCTCAATAGCACTTTTTACTATAAACACAATGCCTACTCCATTGAGCAGACAGGTGTTTCCAACTCCAGACTGGAGAGACACAGTGGTTCTTTGTCCCTTAGCTCACTGTCCAGTGTGAAGGACATGTCTGTCTTTCCGTCCCTCCTGCTTCCCTCCTACATCCCAACACCCATACCTGATTTTCACTTAACACTGTAAATCTTGACAAGTTCCTTTTCATGGACTTTTCAAATAGTTTAAATGACGTTTAATTCTTAGATAGTTTTAAAATGGAACTTTTATTTGGTTTGTCTTCAATTCTTAGTTTTAAAATGGAAGTTTTATTTGGTTTGTCTTCAAAGTACCATTTCTGAGTTGTGACACAGTGAGTTCTTAGAGTCCTGGGTACCCATAATTCTTTCCTGAAGCTTCCTGAGTATAGCCCATCTGATTTCAGCCTCCCCTGTGTCCACACTCTGCAGTGCCGTGTCCAAATGCCCGTTGCTATAGTTTGTGCCCAGAGTGTCCCCCACAGGCCACATGCTGCAGCGTGGTCCTCGGGTGGCAATGCTGGAAGTGATGGGACCCGTGGGAATGGGCTTGAAGGAGGCTTTAGGTCACTAGAAACATGGCCTCTAAGGGGAAGGTAGGAGCTTGGTCCTACCTTTACATTCTTGGTCATGAGGTAGTAGGTTTCCCTCCACCATTTGAGTTTGTTGTTCTGTGATGCCTTGGCTCAGCGGCAGGTTAGCCATGGACTAAAGTCTCCGAAACTATGAGACTAAACAAGCCTTTCCCCATTAGAAGTGACAGAAAGCTGCTTGGCTCAAACATTTTTTTCCCCAGATGATGGCTCTTCATGATATTAATAGATTTATGCAACTACCACACAGGTCAAGACCCAGAACATTCCATAATCCCAAAGCTCTTCTGCTTTCCAGGGCATTTGACCCCCTCCTTCTGAGACTAGCTTTGTTTTGTAGACTCCTGAGCATCTTGAAGCCCCCATGCAGTCCGTGCTTTCAACTCTTAGCTTGTAACTCAGCACCATGAAGTCAAATGAGTATATAGAAACCACTGTTCATGACCGTCCTGGCTGCAGTGCTCCTGAAAGACATAATTAGAACTCTACATCATTCTATCACTCTGTGGCCAGGGTCCAGTTCTCTTCCTATACCAAAGCCACCGCTGCCTCTTGGCACACACATGTCTGCATTTCTTCAGGCACATGTCTCTGGAAGACAGGGAACAGTTCAGAAGGGTGCACAGAGCCCTGGCTTTGATTTCTAGTACTGCAAATAATAATAATGATAATAATAGTAATAATAATGATAATAATAATAAAGTTAAGTTCAACATGGTAGTACATGCCTATAATCCCAGCACCTTGGGGGTGGAACTGGAGGATTAGGAGTTTAAGGCCAGTATGGACTACATATTGATACCTGTCTAAACAAATGCTGCCAAAACATTTCTAAAAACAAGGGGTCATGCCCCAGACACCTCAGGGCTACAGTTGGTCCCCCCATGGCCCATGCCTCTTGTGCTGCTCTTACACTTTCCTAACAGGAAACCCATAACAATCATGGATTCTATTGGTGTTTCTCTGGTGGTCTATGCATTGAGCCTCATTTTAACCTTGCGTCTTAGCTCCCATAACCTAAAACACTGCCCAGGCCTCTTTCTAAGGAATAGCGACTCCTCTCCATGAATTCTTGGGATTCAATATTGTTTTGGAAGTTGGTGCCTTACGAATGTTACAATGCACTCAGCTGTTGCCCTTCTACTTCTGATGGACAGACAGACACTCTTAGTATGAGGTCAACCACCTACCCTTTAGGAAAAGCTTTGTCTCTTCAAGGTGCTGAGCTATTCTGAGCCCTTTCTTGCATTCTGCCTTGCAGAGAGGATG